AACCGGTTATGAGAATACTTTTCATTTAAATGTGATGTCAACACTCACAGACGGGGTTGTGTCGGGCTCCTGCCTTCGTCAACACGTGTAGCAGAGGGTAATTGTGGGTAAGAGCGGCCACGTCCAGGGGGACCAGGCCCTGATCGCTCACCCTGTTCACCCCCTTCTCCCTCTCTCTCTCCCAGTCTTTGCTCTTCCTCTCTCCTCTCTCCCATATGCTCCTTCCTCCTCCCCCACAGCCGGTGTGGTCTCTGGACAGCAGGCTCTGCACGGCCAGAGTGTCTTCATTTTCCACCGCTTCCCACAGGGACATGTACTGATGGGGGGGGGGCACAGGAGAAGAGAGTTCATACAGGAAGAGGGATCTATATTCTGAGATAGAGGGAAGAGAGCTGCTGCACGAAGAAGAAAGAAGCAACAGATGAGACAGTTATATAGGGCAGATAAATCTAAAGCAGCGAGAGAACCTGAGTCAGCAGGAAGTGTCAGAGTGAGAATCTGAAAAAGAAATCGAGCCAGAGGACAGGAGAGGATTTCAGCCAAAGTGACCACACACACACACAAAAAAACCTCTTACAGCATCTGCAGACTTGCTGAGGTGTTTGGGTGCGTCAGTTTCCCCGGCAGCAGATGACTCCCCCCCCCTCAGTCTGACCGACAGGTTCCTATATATGCGTTTGGGCGAGACGGGACCCAGAGAGCGCCGACGCTGGAGAGGGTTCCTTGTGGATACAGACATGACAGGAAGAGGAGAGGAGAGAGGAGAGGAGGGGAGGAGAGGAGAGAGAGGAGAGGAGAGGAGGAGAGGAAGAGGATGAGAGAGGAAGAGGAGAGGAGAGGAGGAGAGAGGAGAGAAGAGGAAGAGAGAGGAGAGGAGAGGAGAGGAGAGGAGAGGAGAAGAAAGGAGAGGAGAGGAGAGGAGGAGAGAGGAAGAGGAGAAGAGAGGAGAGGAGGAGAGGAGGAGAGGAGGAGAGGGGAGGAGGAGGAGAGAAGAAGAGGAGAGCAGAAGAGGAGAGGAGGAGAGGAGGAGAGGAGAGGAGGAGAGGAGAGGAAGAAAGAGGAGAGCTGAAGAAGGCCTTTTGAAAGAGTAGTTAGCTCATGGAAAGACAGATTTCTACCCTTAACTTACAGAAAGAGCACGAGAGAAGGAAGATGGGAAAAGAAGGAGAAAAGGGGAAAGTCATTAGAAACCTGGAGGGGGGGGGGTGACAGGGGAGGAGGGGAGAGAAACAGAACAACAGTCAGGCTCACAGATTCCTTCACAGAGAAAGCAATTTTCTGCACACTCGCAGGTTGCTGTTCTGTGGGCGGATAAATGGATGACAGTTTCAATGCCTGTAAATGAAAAAAGCCCTGACGCAGTTATTTTTGTGCCTCTCACTTGTCTTTGTTCTTCTTCTTTTTACACACTTCTGTGTGACACGGGTTTTATTAGCTCTGAAAGGAGTCTGTCAGCACACAAAGAGAGCGTCACATTAATCTAATCATCTGAAGAGAAGTGATCTCATATAGAAGAGCCAAATTTACTTCCTTATAATAAATGACCTCTCCTCGCAGTTTGGAGTGATTCGGTTTACGTGCCTCAAGCTTTTTTATCTGAAGAGCTTCTGTGTGAAGAGGAACAAACAAACTTCATCATCTTCCTCATCCAGGGCCGTCTCCAGGATTTATCTGGGCCACCTCTCCCACTGCCTCAGCCAACGCTGACGAGTCACTATAACCACACCTCCGTTTTACTAATGAGCCAATCTAAGCTTTCAAATAAGGATTTCATGTTTTTGTCACCATGCACTCTCTACCCGACCTCAAAAGCCTCTGCATGTTTCTAATAAGCTCCACGAGCAGAAACGTGCTCAAACTAGGATCAATATTGGAGATGCTTTTGAAAAATGGAGAGAGGTTAGAACACAGAAAGTCTCTATGATGTTTAGAATCTGGGCTGCAGTACCCGTTTTAAACACTAGAAAGAAACAAATTAAAAACAACAAAAAACAATAAACTAATTCAGGTCCAATCTCCACAGGTGGCCCAGATAAATCCTGGAGACGGCCTTGAATGTCAGTGTGTCTTTTGAGTTGTCTCTCCATCAAGCAGGCGTGCTGAGTAGCTCACTGTCCTCGTGTGAAAGTGGATCCTGCCCTGCCGGGTGCGAGCTGAGGACAGAATCAAAAGGGACACAAAGCTGCTGTTCCCTCTTTGTGTGACTGACTTCTCCAAACAGTACCTGCACTGTCTGCATGCAGGGATGCAGGGTTACTGTATAGGGGTAATACCTGTCATTGTTATTGGTTCCCATGTTTGTTTATTTTGTCTTACATCAGTGGTGGAAAGTGCTGACGGAGCAGTTTGGATAAGCTGCTCTGTTGGACAGCACAAAGAAGGTTAAACACCTGTTGAGTTTCTACACCTGTTAGAAATATAAAGTTTAACTTTTTGTTACCTAAAGAAAAACACGAATGCACATTAGCTGTATCATGAAGCAACACCCGTTTCCAGTTTCCAAACAATTGCAGACAAACTCCTGCACACTGTCTACATTTTGTTTGTGGAAGATTGCATGCATTTATTGATAACTGAAAACAAGAAATTATATTTTTGTTGCCATGGTAAATGAAGCTGAAGCTGAAGTGTAAAATCCTGCAGTTCCTGGAGTGTCCACTAGAGGCCGGCTGCAGAAGCACAGGAAGTCACATACACACCCATTCTAAAAAGCCTGTTTTTACAGCAGAGATGAACATGTTTACAGCCTGGTTCAAAAAACCAAATAGGTGTGATTAGCTCATGTCTGGATGGACACACACTGTACGGGGGGTGAATGTTTTGATGACTCATCAGTTTTGATTTGATGAAGGATAAGAGTTATTCACAATAAGGCGTGTAGCTGACCTGATTGACAGGTGGGCGCGGTGTAACGGTTTGTCAGGAGGTTTAAAACCCGCCTCAGCTCCAGCTCTCAGCCTGTCTCCTGTGACGGCCCCCTGCGTCCTCTGTGGAGTCATCGTGGTTCTGTCTCTTCTCTGTACCTCAGTGTGTGGTGATTCTTTTCTCAGTATTGTGGCTCATGCTGCGAGCAGAGCGTGGTTTATCTTAGCTTTCTGTTTTGTCAGTCTGCTAAATGCTGCAGCTCAAAAGTTCAGCGTTGAATGGAAACTTCTGATGACGAATATTTCTTTTCCCCCATGAGGTAATGCTCTAAAATATCTAGAGTAAGGAAAACACATAAAAGGGCACGGCTTTAAGAGTTATCATGCATGATTACAAAACGCTTCTTTCCCAGAAATAACACATTTTTCAAACTCTGGCTCCGTGTCCCCAGAGATTTTCAGCCCGTCTGTTTAAATGAGGCAAAGACGTTTCTGCACATTGAAAGCTTTTAAATCAGACACAATGTGACATCTTCTATAGTGTTTAACAATATTAAAGAGCTAACCTAACTTGACTGAAGAACCTTTACTGACCCAGGGGATAGACACACGCTGTAGAGTCTTTGTGGTTTCATTGCATCTCAGGCTCTGTGAGAGTGCTGAGAGCAGAGCGTGGTGATCATTTTTGCAAGTTTTCTTTCTGTTCTGTGCGATGAATGCTGAGGCGGGAAAGTTCAGCAACGCATGGAAACTTCTGTTGACAAATATTTGTAACCTCTGCAGGAAGTTGTGAACTCATGCATAATCAATCACCCCCAACCCCCATAAAAAATAAGTTTACAATCCCCTTGGCTTCGTTTGAAAGGTTTAATCGGGATAGAAATGATCCAGGTTTAGTAATCCACTTTGTTTCTACCCAGGATCAGTCAATCCAGATCACTCTAATCCTGTTTGTTCAAAGAAAATCCCCCATCAGGTGAGGTTTCAGAATTCTAAGGATCAACAAATCAGCATTACCAAATCTTTAAACCAGCTTGAAGACCCACCACCGACTCCCTGATGAGAACTTCTGACCCAAATCTCTTTAACCCTTTTCAGACTGCGTTTCCACAAAAGTAACGTAACTGAGCTCAGCCGTTCGTATTGATTCTGCGACGGCGTAAGTTTGGTGAAACGTTAGAATATTAGGCAATAATGTGGCACAAATATGATCGTTATTGAACATCCGGCAACTCTGTCCCCACAGTTTGCAGAGTCACGTGAGGAAGCTTGTATCGGGTTTGGTGACGACAGACTGCACCTCATACGTCAGCAGGCACCAGATCAGCCAATAGAAACATTCTGTTGCAGTAGCCGGGGTTCAACCTGTAGAGGGCAGTCACTGCATATTTCTAACACAATAAGTCGAATTTCAATACTTTGCTTGTCCTCAGATGTCGAGATAGTGATCAACAACAAAATCCTCTTACAGTTTTGCAGCTGGAACAAAAAGTGTGGGGGTCTAAACCCCTCTCTTTGAATCCGAGAAAATATGGCAACAAAGGAAAACTCCAGAAAATACCAGAACTGCTTGACTCTCCGAAAACACATCTAATGTAGACAAACTTCTGATGGAAAATGCCAAAAAACTTATAATATATTTAAGTTGATTGTACGGTGTTACGGTTTAAAACGTGACCGTGTTAACTGGTGACTTTGAGTGATTTTATGACTGTCGTATTTTGCACCGTTAAATCTCTTCTAAAGACACTTCAGAGTCAAACACTGTTTGCGGTTCATATTCATGCAGAATAATGAAAGTGCGTCCTCTACCGAGTCTATAGAACAATAAGGACACTTCACTTCACAGACTTTATCATCACAGATCTGACCCACAGAAATAACTTCAAACGTTTTCGAACTTCTAACACTTCCGCGAGGTGCATGCAATTCTTGGCAGGGATGCATTTCTCGGCATAACACCTAAAGAAACCTTTCTTTCTTTCTTTTCATGAAATACATGTCTGATGAGGATTTTACGACACTATAATCAAAAAGATAGAAACAGAAGAATCCGTGAGAAAACTTTAAAACATTTACAACACAAACTAAGTTGCTGAAAGTCGCCAGTTAACACGGTCACATTTACACCGTAACACCTGCAGCAGACGGAGCAGCGAGTTCTATTCTTTTACACAAGTTGCAACAGGCTGCAAACAATATGACAATTTAAAAGAGTTTTCTTACCGTGAGTTGACATTTTATTCACACCAATCCTTTGAATGACTCTTTTTATCTTCTTATTTTGGTCACATTTAATCCACTGAGTCTGAGCAGACTGCAAGAGTTTCCATCTGTGAGGGTGAAGCTCACCTGAAAGTTCAACCCGAGTGAGCTACTGCATGTCCAACACACACGCACACACACACACACACACACACACACACACACACACACACACACAGACTCCGCCCTCTTCCTACTTAATTATCTCAGCAGTAATACATGAGAGCGATTTAAAAAATCTAGTGCCTGAACCACTGAGGGAAGGACATTGTTATAACTGTTTCAAAATGTAAAATGGTGAAATGGACGTATGGAGTATGAGCGTGTTTCAGTGTCCATGTGTACAGGGTAAATGGTCTTGAGCTTGTATAGTTTATTTTTCTTCTGGCTGTGTAAAGAGTCCATCAGTTTAAACTCATCGTTCATTCACATTCACACACTGATGACGAAGCAGAGGGAGCAACTTGGGGTTAAGTGTCTTGCTCAAGGACAATTCGGACATGTGGCTGCAGGAGCTGGGGAATCAAACCCTCAACCTTTGCGGTTGAGAGATGTCGGGCTCTACCACTGAAGGAGTTTGCCTGAAATGTATATTGATTAAAAACAAGAAATTAGCCATATTGCGTTTACCTGCAATGCTTGTTTAAGCCTCCACTGCCATTAAATACATGCAGGCTTGCAGGAGGAAGACACATTAGTCATTACTAAAAACTGCAGTTGCAACCCGTTAATGTTGTCACTTATGGAAACAGTCACCACAGTGATGTTGTGGTTGATGACTGTAAAGGTAAAGCTCTATTTAGGACAGCTGCACGCCCACGATGACGGCAGAAGAAAGCAGCAAGAAATATTATAAATCTATTCCTTCCTGATTTTTCAAGACTGCAGAATGATCTCTATTTATATATAAAGATGTGTGTGTGTGTTTGCGTGTGTGTGGGTTGTACACAGGAAGTGGTTTAAGACACATCAAGCCAAATGAGAGAAAAGCAAAAGGCCCAGCTATGTTGAGAATAATGTGTGCAGGTAGTGTCTCCACTCATGCTTGGACACTACCAGAGTCCATTTGTGTTGTTTTATTGGCCTCTGATGAATCGTCTCTGTGAAATAGTTGTCAAATTAAATTGACGGATATGTGTTCACTCCAATCTGAGCTCTCAGGAGCCAACAAACCCCTGAAGCTGATGGATCACAGTCCTGTTGCTGCACAAATTACTTTAAGAACAAATATTTTCCACCTGCTACTCTGTTCAATCAGCCAAACAAGGCTCGTCCCACATCCTGCAGACACTGTGTACGCTCGGCTTTAAATATGTCTTTGGAGCGCAGCAGATTTGTCAAAAGAAAACTCCTCCACCTTTGAGAGATCGCCTGCTGCACACACAGCTAAGCTGCAGCTGCACTTTATGTCATGCATTACTTTGATGTGAAGTGAACTCGTGTTAAGGCGAAGTGCAGAGATAATAAATTGTCATGTTGGTGGTGGTGCCTGATAAGTCTCCCCCGCACATCTCTCCTTGGATAGCTTTTGTTGTCATGGTGATAACCAAATTGTGGCCTTCACTGCTAAGCGATACTGGAAAAAAAAAACCTAATTTCACAGTACACTGAACATATCATTCAGCAATGACATTTATTGGATGCTATTAGAAGATTATCACCTAGTGCTGTGTTAAAAAAAAAAAAAAAAAAAGGATATCCACCTAATCTTCAAATTTGGAAACTTTTGATGGCACCGCTAATAAAGATAAGAGTAAAGCAACTAAAGCTTTAAAACAACTTAAAACCCTCAAATACATGGGATTTATTATGATTGTTTCAACAGATGGCAGAGGAGATAATTCTGCTCTGGGAAACACTCTTGTAGGTAGAAGTCACCCGCACCCACCTGTCAATCAGGTCAGCTACACGCCTTATTGTGAATAACTCTTATCCTTCATCAAATCAAAACTGATGAGTCATCAAAACATTCACCCCCCGTACAGTGTGTGTCCATCCAGACATGAGCTAATCACACCTATTTGGTTTTTTGAACCAGGCTGTAAACATGTTCATCTCTGCTGTAAAAACAGGCTTTTTAGAATGGGTGTGTATGTGACTTCCTGTGCTTCTGCAGCCGCCTCTAGTGGACACTCCAGGAACTGCAGGATTTTACACTTCAGCATTGGCTTCATTTTTTTCCCACAAGAGGTTGCCACTTGTTAAAAACTCAACGTATACATATATATATTTTCAACCTCCCCAAGTGTTAAACGCCTCCCCTTAAAACATTTTTTATTTGTGAATCAAATTATTTCATTTTAATATGTACGTAAATATAATAATAATAAAAATGCTGTAACTGAATTATATTTTTCTGTTTGAATACATACTTTTCTGTTTCGTATTGTGCAAACTTTTGAATTCCCCATACTGTAGGAATAAAAAATAAAAATAAAATAAAATAAAATAAATGCCATAATTCACACAAGGCATCATGGGAGCTAGGAATAAGGTGGATTAAAAAAAAATGAACAGAATAAAACCCGGCACCAGGTCGTTAAAGCAAACACTGAAGGGGTAATAATTAATTCTTTTTTTTATGTCGTGTTTTTGTACTTTGTGTTTTGTTTTTTATGTTTGAATAAAGTTTTGATTGAAAAAAAATTGGGCGCAAACATTTCACTTTGCTGAACCTGAAACGGGTTTTTGTTTTTGTACGTTTTCTGTCGTTTATAATTAATTCATGTTCAATGGATACTTTAGTGGATTGATTATACTTATTTTAATGTGACTGTTTAATCAGTGAAGACTTAAAATCTTCTGGAAAGAAAACAGTAACTCTGCGCGTTTTATGCTAATGTTTTAATACGTTATGAATTAGCTAACCTGCAGTTTGTTTACAACACAAACATGACGAGCGACGACATTATCCACCACAAGATCCACTTCAGACACGACCCGAGGTGGAGCGGCCGGCTGGGCCCCGCGGAGGAGGAGGGAGGCCGGCTGGGCCCCGCGGAGGAGGAGGGAGGCCGGCTGGGCCCCGCGGAGGGGGAGGCCGGCTGGGCCCCGCGGAGGGGGCGGAGGCCGGCCGGGCCCCGCGGAGGAGGGAGGTCGGACGGGCCCCGCGGAGGGGGAGGCCGGCCGGGCCCCGCGGAGGGGGGCGGCCGGCCGGGCCCCGCGGAGGAGGGAGGCCGGCCGGGCCCCGCGGAGGAGGGGGAGGCCGGCCGGGCCCCGCGGAGGGGGAGGCCGGCCGGGCCCCGCGGAGGAGGGAGGCCGGCCGGGCCCCGCGGAGGAGGGGGGAGGCCGGCCGGGCCCCGCGGAGGAGGGAGGCCGGCTGGGCCCCGCGGAGGGGGGGGAGGCCGGCCGGGCCCCGCGGAGGAGGGGGGCCGGCTGCTCTGCGTGGCCTGCGTCATCGAGATGATCGAGAGTGACGACATCGCGGTAACATTGAAACCACACTTTGGTTTTTATCTCATTTAATTACTGTTCATATTGTAACCCTTCACAGGATAGGATAATACTTTATTGATCCCCAGAGGGCAGCAGCACAGACATGAAAGTTCAAAATAAACATTAAACAGAATAGATAAGATAAATAAAAATAAAAACAGGGGGTATATGCAAAGGGAAAAATAGCAGCAAGTTATGTAAAACAGCAGAGAAGAGAGGCAGTGTTGTACCACAGTGATGCAGTTATATAATATAATGTAGTATAAGATAATATAATATAGTGCAATATGAACAATATAGTGTAATATAATGAAATGTTATATAATATAGACTAATATAATAATATAATAAAATATATAGAATGTACTGTAAATATATATATGTATACCGGTATATTGTATGGTTTATTGACCCGGGCCAGGAATGACCTCATAACAAGTGTCTATACCAAAGTTGGAACTACATATCATTTAATAATTAGAGAAAGCCTATCTGACATTTCAGAGAGCAGGAAGAATGTATTTATCAGGTTTTCAACACTAACATTTGGAGAATGACATTTACTATCACACAGCATTACGTCCTATTTTACCTTCAAAAATTAAGTTAAAGAAATTCTTCCAACTGGGCAAACAAAATGTAAATGTTGAGTGTCTTGACATTGTCTGGACTTGTCAGCTGAATGTGGCTGAAGTGTAATGAGATGTTTTATTTATTAAAGGTCCGTCAGTGAGATGTGTAGAGAGTGAGATGATAAAGGTATCTTACTCTCTGATCATTAAGGAAACATGCTATGTTGAAGTGCTGGCTTCTCTGACAACAATGCAGCAGCCAGTATGTCCTCCTTCTAACTTTAGATTCTGCTCCTGAATGCTCTGGATTTGTTTGGACCAGAGAAGGTAGGCGCTTTTAAGACACGGCCGTTTTGGACGCCCCTCGGTTTGTCAGATATGAGAGCAGTTATCAGGTCAACAGGTGTTGCAGTGATGGAAGCGGTCAAGAGAAGTGGTTCAGATAGAAGTGATTGTACCCGACCTAAAAACAGTTCGATGGTGGTGGCTGGGCGTCCGGTGATGGTTTCCTGTGATGTTCAGGCTTTATTATATTTCCCTCTCTTTGTCTTTGTTTTACAGTCGGTGAGGAAGTCGTTTGTCCTGTCTGGTGTCAGTGGGCTGTTGAGGTCTTCTCCTGGGGCTTTGAGAGAGCTTCTCCAGCAGGACCTCAGAGTCTGTCTTCATTTTACATCTTCTCTGCTCGGTGAGTCAGAGTTATACTAAAAGAATAAAAGGACAAGAATGAGTAAGACGCAGTGGGTGTTCTGCTCTCTGTCCTTGTGGAGTAAGTTCATATGTGACGTAGGCTGATCATTCATATCGGGGTGTGTGTTTAGAAGGGTGTGATTTCATCACAAAACATAAACTTACTCCCCCCTCCTCCCTCTCCCCCGCTGCTCTGCGTTACATGAGGTAAACACTCTGTACATCGAGATATAGTAAACATTTAATTCATGACATTGTTTCTTTTGCAGCTACGTTTTGTGAAAATCCAAAAAATATATTCAAAGATAACCAAAAAGCAACATTTGTCTTCATCGTCTGACCAAGAACACATCAACGGTTCACAGCATAAATCTTCATGTAGTTTCTCTGAACTTTGCAGGTTTTCTTAAACTATTAAGTCTGTTGTCTTAACTCTGGTCTGAGTTTTATCGTTTCATCTTTGTTATTAACCATCTGTAAGTCGAGCCTCTCTTTTCTTTCCCCAGGGATGCTTCACTCCGTGGAGGAACCGGCCACTCTGGGGAAGGTTGACCAAGGTGAGGAGATGCTTCTTTGTAGCTTGGATAATTTATTTATTTATTTATGTTTGCTGTGTTGGAGAACACACACTGAAACACACATTCAGAATGAAACCCTTCTCCTATTCTCCTCATATGTACTGTAGAAACGGACTCGTTAGCATGCAGGCTGTGTAACACAGTCAAAGGCTCTGAGTCACTCCTAACTCTCTTTGGGACTGCGATAACGGTCACTGCTGGGAACATTTGGACCTCACTGCACGACATGAGTTCTTTCACTGCTCTGCTGTCTGTATCCAGTGATCAGTTAAATCTGCCATAAACACATAGTTCTTAGTTCACAGTCAGAGTTTTCTCACTGGATCTAAATGTTTAAAAACACTAAACTGTTTTGTTAAAGGTCCAATCAGTGAGATGTGTAGAGAGTGAAATGAAAGTGAGCTTACTACATGATCAGACATTAAGGAAACATGCTATGTTTGCAGCAACCAGTATGTCCTCCTTCTGGGAAAACTCCTGCACACGGTCTAAATTGTAAAAATAGTAAAAAACGATTAAGGACCAGAATGTTGGCAACTTATTTCAAAATTTTGATTATTGAAAACAAATAAATACCCAACATTGAGTTCCTGAGACTACTATTTTTGTTGCATTAACTGGAATCAATATGTTAAGTTATGTTAATGATAAAAATGTTCTCGCTGGTCTCTGTTTCTCCTCACACACACACACACACACACACACACACACATCACAGCTTCATTATTTATGGGGCTGTAATGAATCTCAGACTGTGTTCATCACACTCTTCTTGCAATGAGCTGGAGCAGTGAAGTTTTAAGCACTCTACTATTACAGCGAAGTGGTCCCTCAGGCATTTTAAGACAGATTCTGTAAAACTGCTCTGATACTTGATCTTAAAGAAGCAATTTGACACCTAGTGTTTAAAATGGGTACTGAAGTCTAAATTGTAAAATCTTCCTCCCACCCCCCCCCTCTCTAGAGTGGATGCTCACGCAGGTCACCATGTGGTGGACTCTGAAGCTTCAGTGTTTAGCCAGCTCTGCATGGGTCTGATTGTCCCCCCTCCCCTTCCCCCCGCTGGCCTGCTCTCACACTGCTCCACGACTAACCGGGCCTTAGCACGTTTACCTCTTGTGCATAAGGTCGTAACACAACACATGCATTGCTTTACGTGGTCATGAAGCGTGCTCAGTTTACAAGACAGAAAAAATAAATAAAAGGGACGCACAGTCGAGGCTGCATCCGCACATCGGAGAACAACACAGAGAACATGACAGCTATGTTACTGACTTTGTGTCTTATGTTGAGTCCTGTAACAGAGCACTCACACTGGTCAAAGGAACTGGACTTTAGTGTTGAAGCGTGCTCAGGTACAGTGCTGATTGCCTCGAGTCAGTGTGCCCTTAAATGTGAACATAACTGTAATGAATCTTCTGTTTTCTCTTTTTGATGTGTGTGTGTGTGTGTGTGTGTGTGTGTGTGTGTGTGTGTGTGTGTGTGTGTGTGTACAAACCTGTGTGTGCTTGTGTTCCTGTGTGTCAGTGCTGGTTCAGCTGCTCTTGGAGCTCCACAGCGAGCCGTCTTATCGCTTCGTTTTGGATGAGATACACAAACAGGTGAGACACTCGTGTACAGAGAAACACCTACTCACTTACACATACAGGCTCAGAGACACGCTCCGCATCCTCAATCATCCAACATCACGTGTGAACAACACATCTTCCCCGGGTTGTTTAGTAAACACAGCGCCGTGCTTGTCTCCCTTTTGCTTCTGTTGTGTCTCCCTTTGGGAGGGGGAGAGGGGGGGGTTGTGGAAAAGCCTCACTAAACAGCTAACGCCGCACATGGAAAATAGTAAAACCTGTTTGTACAGATGATGATGACGGAGGTGTTACAACACGTGGAGGTGCAGACAGGTCTCATTGATGTCAGTAGAATAGAGCCTGATTCTAAATGTTCAAAGGAAATATTTAAGCAAGATCTCCAGAGCGATCTGCGTGCTTTGTTTTCTGAGTTCTGAAAATAAGTGAATTACAGGTTTGAGTCTTTAAAGTAAAAACGTATGAGAGGATCTGGGGACTTGTTTAGGTTCTCATTCTTCAGACCTTCTACGAGTGCGTTTAAATAAAAGAAGCCGAGTTAACTTCATACAACATATAACGATCGTGATCAGCATGAGAGGTTAGAACACAGAAAGGTTTACAGACCCATGCAGAGCTGGATAAACACTGAAGCTTCAGAGTCCACCACATGGTGACCTGAGTAGAGGGGGGGGGGAGACAGCTCTCTATGATGTTTAGAATTTAGACTGCAGTACCCATTTTAAACACTAGGGGTCAGAGTTACATACTGCTCCTTTAAGTCTTGTTGATTTATTTGTGTACTTTCTCTGTGCAGCTCAGTGACCAGCTCAGTGTGAAGAGTCTTCTGCCCATTTTCAACTTCTTGGGGAACCTGGTGGAAGCTGCCCCCAACCTCGCCTTCACGCTGGCGACTCAGTATGGTGAGTCCAGAACACAGCCCACAGTCACACAGGCACTGATGCACAAAGGGAAACAGCAGAGGGTCTTTATTGTCGTGTGTGATCGTCTTTACTTGCAATTTAAAATTTCATGAAAAGATTTGCAAAAAATGAAAGACTACTGGGACGACTGGGGGATGGGGAGCCAGTGGAGGTTATGAAGGACGGGGGTGATGTGGTCACAGGTGTATGAGAAGGCGAGCAGCAGGATTGTGGATGTATTGAAGTTTCTTGAGTGTTTTGGACGATGAACCGTAGATGAGACTGTCGCAGTGGTCCAGTCGGGAAATGATGAATGTGTGAGTGAGGGTCTCAGCACCTGAAAGGAGAAAATCGAAGCATTTCCACGATAACTCAATTACTGCCGCCTGTTTTCACCTTTTCAAAAACATTTCTTGTTCATGAAAGCAGTTATATACTGTATCTCTGTTAAATATTCTCCCCGTGCTGCACTCATTTTATGATATGGGACAAAAAAATTAAGTAAATTCGATATCCTTTCCCCTGAACCTTTCAAACCAATCTCTGTCGTTGTTATGACCTTTTTTTAAAAAAACGCTCAGGCTTTATTGAGATAACCACACTTTGGCCACACTTTATATTCCACTTGCGTCGATGATCCCACGGCAGCTCTCACTGAAATAAAGACATAAGCATGTTCAATCCGACCTTTCCCCTGAGTTACACCATTTATTTATATCTGTTTACCCACAATCTTCCAGTGTGGTAGAGCAGAGCGTGTTGCCCCTCCCCTCCCGCTCCTGCTGATTTAATCTGCTACAACCACCTGCTGATGTCTGTCTTCTCTGAACCGTAACGCTGCTCTGTTAAATGGGAAGAATCAACTTCAAGTGTTCATAAAAAAAGAAAGGCTGCATTTATCTGCTCTCTTTTTTAAAAATCTCAATATTTATCTCAGAAAGAAAAATATATTGCATGTCAGTTTTTTCCAATATGCATCTCTCATGTAAGTCATGCATAGGCAGGAGTCATGGTTATGTATTATGTCACATACGTTTACCTCTCAGGTGTCCCCAGGAGTGTAGCGCTCCCCTGAACAGACTCAGGTAGTTCTGGTTTTCTTTAATGCTGATGCAAAATGCGGGCCGCCACTATTTACCGTGCGGGCCGTCTGTGGCCTGTCACTCAGCGTGTCTCTGTCGTGCTGTTTGGACTAACAACAACAGCATGGCAATGACAACAAAGCCCAAAGCACCCAACACAAATGACTCTCTCTCTCTCTGACTCACTGCCTGCCTGTCTCTCTTACTGATTTTCCCTTTGCGTGTTTCTCAAATCTTTGCTTTCCTCCGGCCTCGTCTCTCTCTTTTTCCCGCCTCTTTCTCTTGTTGTCCGATTCCCTCCTGTCCTCACTCAGGAGAGAATACAGAGGAAAGAAGGAAGCAGGAAGAGAGGATGAAGCATTTTACATTAAGGACAGGCAGACACAGATAACGAGGATGGTTTTGTGTGGAAGGGATATAAGTACAAGAAGCTGTCGTTCTCACATGTGGGGATGTAAGGGCACACTCACGCTAAGCCCAGTTGTGTTCTGACCAAGCCCTTATTATGTGTTTAAAAACAAAGCTCTACCCAGGCCTTGTGTGTCGTAGGGCTGGGGTCGGGTCGCAGACCTCCAGTTGTCACATCCTGTAATTATTTACCAGACTTTAGAAAGAAACAACAATGCAGAGTGAGGTTTGTTCAGTTTTTGGGGATTTATTTTGGTTTGTCAAACGAACGCATTTTGTTTGTGGGAAACAAAGACGAAGTATAAGAAGCTGTAGAGAGAGAGTGAGCCAAAGAAAGGTTCAGTTAAAGAGGCTGAGGAACAACAGAGACACACATTCTGTTTGGAGCTGATCACAGGAGGAACAAAGAGCGGCACAGTGAGGAAGAGAAACAGAAAGATACCAACCTTTTGGTTTTGCTCTTCAAAGAGAGCGAAAAGAAAACGTGTTCCACCTTCTGTTTGTGCGTCCGTCTCTGTGTTTGTGTGCACGCCTCGTGAAATGTGTTTTTTAAACAACAGTAAGGCTTTAATTTTCCCTCCCATCCTTTAATCACTCTCTCTTATCTCCCTTCTCCCTCCTCCAGCCCCTCTCCTCTCGGCCGCCTCATATATTTCTGCTTTAATCAGACGTGTCTGGGAGCCTCTCCTGGCTCACATGGGTTTTGATCTGCTTCACAGAGCTCTCCCTCTCTCTCTCTTTTACAGTCTCAGATTGTTTTTTCCTCTGCCTCCCTTCAGCTCCTGCCCGCCACTTAAACACAGATTATTCCTCTGTTCTTAAAGTCCCTTCATTACTCTTTTTTCACCGTCTCTCCGCCTGTGTTTCAAGCAGTGCTTTATAGTTCAGGCGGCGGCCTTAACAACTCGTTCCCTCCGCCTTGACTACCGTTGTAGAAACATCATAGTATTCATTTATAGTGTGTGCGGGGTCGCCGATAGCCTAGCGGATATATCGCTACCCCATGTGCAGCGGCTGTGGTCCATGTCATTTGAATGTCTCATTTCACTTTAACAAACTCTCAGACAGCTCAGCTGACGAGTCCAAAGTAATATCCACCTTATGACATCACACATTGACATTATGACATCACACATTGACATTATGACATCACACATTGACATTATGACATCACACATTGACATTATGACATCATACATTGACATTATGACATCACACATTGACATTATGACATCACACATTGACCTTATGACATCATACATTGACCTTATGACGTCACACATTGACCTTATGACATCACACATTGACCTTATGACATCACACATTGACCTTATGACATCACACATTGACCTTATGACATCATACATTGACATTATGACATCACACATTGACCTTATGACATCACACATTGACATTATGACGTCACACATTGACCTTATGACATCACACATTGACCTTATGACATGACACATTGACCTTATGACATCACACATTGACCTTATGACATCATACATTGACATTATGACATCACACATTGACATTATGACATCACACATTGACCTTATGACATCACACATTGACCTTATGACATCACACATTGACATTATGACATCACACATTGACCTTATGACATCACACATTGACCTTATGACATCACACATTGACCTTATGACATCACACATTGACATTATGACATCACACATTGACATTATGACATCACACATTGACCTTATGACATCACACATTGACCTTATGACATCACACATTGACCTTATGACATCACACATTGACCTTATGACATGATGACTTTGTTACAGTTCCTTTGAGCTGTTTGACCTCACTTTGGGATCCCTAACCACTTCCTGTTTATGTGCTCAACTTCCTGTTTTAACCTTCACTCTACAGGAAACCTTACTGTATTTCAAAATAAGACAGGAAGTAAAGTACTCTCTGACTCTCTTTACACAATAATAAACATGAAACAGTCTGAATGTGCTCTCAGATGAATGTTTACTTGTAACACAGTTAATTTAAGTTAATATAATTCATTTCTTTCAGGTAGCGTGTTTTGGTTGTCTGGGGTCAAACCAAACCAAAAAGAGTTTTGTGAAGTCAAACCGGGGTCACGAGTCAAAGACTGCTGTGAACCATGCTTTCTGCCAGAGCGTGTGTCCACTGTGCACGAGAGACTCCTCGCTCAGCCCTGTGTATTTTTATATCCATCTTTTTTTTTCCCCGCACACCCTCTCTCCCAGACGCTCCACTTCACCGCTCTTTCTTCCCAATAGTCTTCAATGCTTTCATCATCATTGCAGCTTCCCCTCCACTGTTGCTCAACCATCGTCTCTGATACGGAGGAGGTCGTTAAAGTGAAACTCCCAAAACACACTTTGTTCTCTGCGGTTTGCTCTGCGTCGTTCTGTCATCTCGCTTCAGTTTTTGATTGTTTATTTGTGCTTTCCTTTCCTTCCTCTGTGTCTCAAACTGACTGATGTTTCCACATGATAATTATATCTGAATCCTTTGTTTCTGTGTTCACTCATCTGTCCATCAGCCTCCCTGCTGGATCACCTGTGCTCGGCCCTCCTGTACCCCGATGAAGTGCTGAAGGCCTCAGTCCTGTACGTGTGGCTCAGACTGTTTGGGACAGCCGGGGGCTTGGCTGCTCAGTCTGTACCTGCTGCCATCAGGGACAGAGTGTGCGTCCTGCTGCTGCAGACTTTAGCCAACGCCAGCTCCCCTCTGCTCATCAACAAATGTGTTGGTGAGAAAAAACAGCTGTCATTTCTTTATTACCAAAGATTTGCATTTAGATCGATTAGAAGAAGAACTAACCCAAACATCCTGACTAGTGTGGGCAACATATTTAGTCAGAGTTATATTTCACCTCATTTGCAACCGAACTGCAGAGCTGAAATCACTGTTAGTGTTGTGTTTTAATGTTTCTAGCCCAATGAATGAAATGTCTTTTATATTCTTCTAATCATCCTGAACGCCTGGACCTGGATTATTTAAACCTACGGTTGTTTTGGTCTTTCATTTTCTTCCACTTTTTTGAAGTCTTCCCTTCCATGAGCACAGGTGGTGTGAGTGTCGTCTCTCTCTTGAACTGGAATCAAAGAATCAAAGGATTAAAGCAGGATGAAGGCGTTTGCTTTCTCGTACCAATTCTAATTAAGAGGATAATAAACTGATAGGCGGGTTCTGAGGAGGACTTGAAACATAATCCTGACTCCTGATCTTCTTACACTTTAAGTGAATACATGGCTGCCTTCACTCGGGGAGAGGTTGGAGACACGTCTGGCCTGTGAGCGCGCTGCGAACAGACGAAGCTGCAGGTCAGCTATTTGTGTAACTTTCTGTTGATTAAATCTTAACAAAGCGTTTCCTCGCAGCACGATGGAGGAATTAAACAGGATTATCATTCTTTATCTCCCACGCTGTGCTAAAAAACAAAGTGCCACAGAAAAGAAAATGTACTTTTTCTCATGTTTAGAACATTCTTTGTTTTGTGATTTATGACTTTGTGTTCAAAAGATTGAAAATAGCTCATTACATCGCTGATGATTGAGTGTTTGAGGCTTGATGTGCGCAGTCTGTTTAAGTTTGTATAACGGAGGATCTCTGGGACTCATCATGTTCCTTTGGGATCGTCTTGGAGTTGTTTACAGCGAGCCCTGTGATTGGACCGCTGGGTAGCATCGCATTTCCCATACTGCTGTCATATACAAAATTCTGCAGAAGGACAAACGTCAGAGCGGTGTTTATCAGCTCAGACTCCCACAAAATAAGCTCAGTTTCAGTTGCCATGGATACCTGAACACAAACAAGCAGGGAATGTAGCAGATAGAAATTGCACTGCCATGTAGAGTTTGTTACCGGAGTATTGCAGAGATTGACGCAGAAGTCCCCCGTGTCGTGTCTAAGAGACTTTGTTTACAGAGCGGGCGAGTGCATCATTTTGATACTACTTTGATATTTTGCATTCGGTATGTTTGTGTCATTCATCGTTCAGGCCTGCTGTCGCTGCTGGTTCAGACAGGCGAGGTGGTGTCGGTTCTGATGAAGAGCAGTCTGGTCCAGGGCAGTGAGAACCAGGTCACCCACAGCAACAACAGTCAGACCCTGAGCCAAACCCAAGACCAACAGCCCCCCGAGCTCTGCCCTCTGCCTCTCATCCTGAAAAAGGTCTGTCTAAACATCCTGCTCCCGTCCCCAAGACCGCATTCTGGCACTCACTATAAAAATAACAAGCACTTCTAATCCTGGATTAATGTTCCTTTGAATAGGGATTCACAGGGGGTTTACCCTGGACTAATATTTGTTCTTCATGTCTGGGAAATCAATGCGTAGATTATATCTCGTTCTCAGTTATGACTCACGTTACAGCTCGGCTGATGACGTCATCCGACCTCCATTGTGTGCCAAGGGGGTTGTAAAATGTAAATCTGGTCAACATAATCAAATCTAAATCTAAAAAATTATTTGAGAGATTTGAGATCCTTATCCACAGCCAGTCTCTCTAGCCAGTTTCTCACATGCACTCCTGATTATTTCCAGAGATTTCAGGAGCAGTTCACACATGACGCTCAGCGTGAAAATATCACGTTTTTCAGAAGTGTTTCTGCATGTATGAACGTTTTTATCTTTACTTTCACTCAGGTGAAGGCCATAAGACTTTTGAACAGGAAAAAATAATCCCTCCATTCCCCCTCAAACCCCCACACAGGACTACCTCACTGGACTGTAAAACACAATATAACGTGCAATATATTTATCTGTATAGTATTTTACTCATAGTTTTTCTTTTTATATCTATTTATATCTGCACCTTATTTTTATTTTTTATATGTAAATACATGCTGCTGTTTTTATCCTGCACTACAACGAGCCAAGGGAACGAAATTTCGTTCTTATCTGCTCTGTAAAGTACAAGTTTGAATGACAATAAAGAAAGTCTAAGTCTAAGTCTAAGTCTAAGGTGTGGTTATCAAGTACTTTTTCCACCACTGTTTTTTTTTTTTTAAGATTTATTTTGGGCTTTTCGTGCCTTTAATGCAGAGAGAGGACAGTGGATAGAGTCTGAAACCAGAGAGAGAGAGAGGACAGTGGATAGAGTCTGAAACCAGGGAGAGAGAGGACAGTGGATAGAGTCAGAAACCAGAGAGAGAGAGGACAGTGGATAGAGTCTGAAACCAGGGAGAGAGAGGACAGTGGATAGAGTCAGAAACCAGAGAGAGAGAGAGAGGACAGTGGATAGAGTCAGAAACCAGAGAGAGAGAGAGGACAGTGGATAGAGTCTGAAACCAGGGAGAGAGAGAGGACAGTGGATAGAGTCTGAAACCAGGGAGAGAGAGCGGGGAATGACATGTGGAAAGGGGCCATGGGTGGAAGTGAACCCGGGCCTACCGCTCGAGACGAGAGTCTCAATGCATGGGACGCGCCCCCTAACCATTGCGCCACCAGCGCGCCCCACCACTGTTTGTGCCTTATTGAAATCTAATAAAGTCTATGAACTGTGTCGTCTAGCTGCTGCTGAGTGGAGATGAGACGTTGCAGGCGACAACTGCGAAGTGTATTGCGTCCGTCCTGGTTCATTCTCCCGCTCAGTTCAGCGCTCCCTTCATCAAAGCCGACATACCAGGTGACAGCAAACACACAAACAAAGGAGCTGGATTTATTGCAGTCTTTTCTACAAATAGTTTTCCCTGCCTTCTCCGTTTTCTTCTCCTGTCTTTATTTCCTCTCTGTGTGTACCTCTCTTTCTTTTTGTCATTCTTTGCTGCTTTCTTTTGTTTTCTTGCCTCTTCATCGCCGCAGGGACTCTGTTTGTAATTCTTTTCCTGACTCTTCAGTTGCAGCTCAAAAGTTCTTGAGCAGTCTGCCTCCTCTGTCCCCCTCGCTTCATGGTTTTAAATCAAACCTCAAAATGCTCTTTTATTGCTTTGCTTTTGGCTCGTCAGGAGAGTTTTCACTTTCCTGATGGTTATTCTCTTGTTTTAAATGAATTCAGTCTCTTAAAGGAAGAATGTGCAACACATCAGTATATCACAAATCCAGTCTGTCCTGTGTAAATGTGTCTGTGAGTCCTGACTGTCTACAATGAGGGAGAAGCTCGAGTCCCGCTGGCTGTGTTGTTGTCAGAGCCGTGTTTACATGGACGGGACGGCCGGCTCCTCCCCTTGTGTATAAAAGCTGTTTTAGTCAAGAACTAGAGAGAAGAAGAAGAACATACTCACTGATTATTTGGATGTTAGTAAGAGTTTTTAGATCACGCTCATTCTGTGTCAGTTTACATGAAATGTGAAGCTAAGCGCTAACATTAGCATGCTAACACAACAATGTGAAGCTACGAGCTAACTAAAGAGCGCTAACATTAGCATGCTAACACAACAATGTGAAGCTACGAGCTCACTAAAGAGCGCTAACATTAGCATGCTAACACGACAATGTGAAGCTACGAGCTAACTAAAGAGCGCTAACATTAGCATGCTGACACAACAACGCAGGACAGGTGATAGCAGCTCGAGGTGTGTCTCTGGAGGAGAGCGGAGGCTTCAGGATGGAGGAGGCGTGGCCTAACCGCAGTTTGTTTTGGTTTCATGCTGGTGCTCAAGGGCGACATCTACTGGATCAGAAAGTCACACATTCTTCCTTTATTTGTGTGTTTTTTATGCTTTGATTGTGCAACACTTTGGTCATTTTTCGTTGTTTAATCGTGCTTCATGAATTCATTTGGATGGATTGGAGTACAGATTTCAGGACAGAATATGATCGTCCTTTATTTTGAGCTAAACATCCTTGAAAACATTTTGTTTCTGTTTTGATAAGAGGCGTAGTGGTACTGTCCCCCATTATCTCCCCACTTCATCTCTGGCACCTTTTCTCTGTTTTCTGGTAGAGTTTCTGTTCGACCGGCTGGCTGGGAGCAGTGATGAGGTGCTGCTGTGGTCTGTGTACAGCTGTCTGCTGTTGCTGACTGAGGACGCGCTCTTCTTCTCTCAGTGTCACGCCGTGTACGGTGAGAGAGCTGAGACAGATCAAACGCGCTCCTGCTTCTTTCTGTGTCTGTGTGTGATGGGATGGCTTTTATTTGGGGGTTTAAAGGTAAATTGATTAACGTCCAGAAAAGACATTGAGGACTTTACAGATGCTTCTTTCTCTACTGGAGACTATAATCTGTGAATCGTTCATTTTGGGCGTTCATTTTTGAAAACCGAATATTGAAACCTTAAACTTCCATTCAATCTGGTTTCCGCTTCTACATGGTTATATGGATTGTAATCAACCTGAGTACGAGCATAGTGCCCTCTGTATTTTAAAGACCAAATGCCTGGCCCTGCCCCGGTGCGTTCATTGTTAATTTGTAAATACTGTTAATTTAATTTGGGGCGGCAGTAGCGCCGTCTTGTATTGGGAATAGTAGGTATAAAGATTGGTCTTGCTCCCAGTTCACTTCTCGAGCACTGCCGTCTGAGAGACAGGACCCCCAACTGTTTGGTAACTCTTGCATGTGCAGCCCCTCAATCTGACACATCTCCATTAGTGCACGTTCATAGGATTGTGCTTGTGCATTACCCGGAGTGCACGTAGCAAGATCAGTAACAGAGTCCAGATCTGAATTTATCTGAAGTATTTCTTCTTCTACAACTACATGCAGAGTAGTCGGTATGCATTCTTATCGTCCAATAAAAATAACTTGAGCAGCACACGGGGCTCTGTGTGTCATTAAGTTTAAGCTCTAGTTCATTTTAAATAAAATATAATTACAGCAGAGTCAGTGTAGCAGTAAATTAGAAATATGTACCACTGCCGCTGTTTGTTAGACATGCATGATTTAGTCTGTGGTGGCCTGTGTGTCACTCTTCTCACTGCAGGAAGCTGCTGTAACCTGCAGAGTTACTCACGGGCAAAATAATCGTACAAGTCAGGCCGAGATCAGAGAAGTATTTTTTGACACATACGTGTTTGTGTTCGCATGGCAGGTATCGAGTCCCTCGTGCGCAGCCTGAAGGAAGCTCTGCGGCTGACCAACTTGGAGGTGCCTCAACAAGGCCTGCTGCTACTCACTGAGATCCTGGAAAGGTGAGAGTCCCTCTGCACCTTTAAGAAAAAGCTAAAGACCCAGCTCTTTCATGAATACCTACTAACTTAATGATGATGGTCTCCATATTATTGATGATGATGATGGTAATGACGATGGTTTTTGTTTGATAACGAGGACTTATAAGATGGTTTCTATACTGATTAGAGCTCTCAAGAACTGCCCTCAATGTTGTGCTTTGCCTCTGGTCACTTCCTGTCAGCACCTGTGTGTCCAATCAGACTCAAAGCTGATCCTTTGCTCTTACTCACATTGTTCCCTTTTTTCTAGATCCTTGCTTGTGTTGTTCTTACTCTCTGATGTACGTCGCTTTGGATAAAAGAGTCTGATAAGTGAATTGTAGAATTGTGAGAATGATCGCTGATGTTTTGTTTTAATCCGTCCCAAACCTGTAATCATTCTGCAGCAGTGGACTAACAACCTGGAAAGTCACACACTCAGTCTCTTCGCCCTCTGAGAACAAATTATGTCTCTACACCTCAGCTTCTCTTCACCTCCATGCCGAGCTCTTTCACATCACCGGAGGGTAAAAAGCAGCTGCAGCAGATAAATATCATCATTATGTGTTAATGAGGCGTCACAGTTAGCTGCAGCTGTTCTCCATGATGATGTTTTCATTTGATCCCGCTTCAAAAACCTGAAAAATCTTTGTGGTTTGAAGGGACCTTAAACACATCGGAGGGATTTTTTATTTAAGCAACATCACCCGCAGCACCACCGTGCAGCCAACCACACACACACATTTATTTTGATGTGTTTTAATATCACAGTATATTTGTACTCAAGCTGAATGTACAGCTTCATCATCACGGACAACCGCCGACCTCTAAAACATGTTAAATATGGTGCACTGGAAAGTTAATTATATTCGAATTAACTGTCTGCTGGCTCACAGATGAAAATTTATCACGAGTCGGTAAAACAGTTTCATATTTCTGCAAGGTCGACATGATTTTAATGGAACGCTCCCCTTGTATAGCAATGATACCGGGGATAAGAGGTTTCAAACGGCGAGGGAAATTTGTCCTCTACGCTGAGTGGGACGGTAAAAAGAAGTAGGTAGAGCAGAGAGCCCTTAAAGTGCTGAACAAGCTTGTGTGTGTGTGTGTGTGTGTGTGTGTGTGTGTGTGTGTGTGTGTGTGTGTGTGTGTTGTGTACAGGCAGCCCCCCAATGTGCGCCTGTTCCCGAGCGGTGGAGGGTTTGTGGCAGTGTCAGAGGCGGTCTTAGCTGGAGTCTCTTCCTCCTGCATGTTGGTCGCCACACAGGCTGCTAACGCTGGCTCCGCCCTGCTCAGGTAAACACAACACACACACACAGAATATAAAGTTACTCAAATATCGTCACAGACACTCATACAGCCACATATGGAGTATACAGATATATCTGTAAACACACACACAGACTTAGAGATGCACAGATTTACTCAGAGATAATTTGATGCTTTTTACCTCAGAGAGCTGAACAGACTCTGGTAGATCACAATCACACATTTTATCCTCGCACCGCTACAGCTCGTGTCTTCCTTTAACCGTCCTACAGTCATACAGTGTTGTGTTATTGAATGTCGGTGTCCTGCTGCACCAGCTGTGTGTGAGATGTGTCTAGAGTTCAGGTGTAACTTGAATAAGTTGTGTCCTTGTTTGGTTACCACGGAGACACAAGATTCATCCAACAGCTTGTCCTAACGGCATGTAGTTTTGTTTTGCTTTTAAATAAACTGTAAAAATAGCACCCAAACGTATTAGTCAAGCTCCGCCTCCAGGGGTAAAAGAAAATCCTGCGCTCACGTGCAGTTAGGACACGGTGTTAAGCGAGTTTATAAACCTTTGAGGCCACTTACATCAGGACAGTTTCCAAGTTGCTTTATAATCCTTGAACACACGGGATGATTCAGTCTACATTTGAACCGACACACAGCTGACGTGACCCTGTGCAGATGTCTTAGCTTTGTTCTTCTCTGATTCTGCAGGCTGAACCATCAGTCTATACCGGTCCAGTACCGGCAGATAGAGGCGCTGATCGAGACCGTCACCAACAGATTCTCTGAGCTGACTCCACCTCCTCCTGCTCGCCATCGAAGCTCTGTGAGTTAGACTGAGTTACATTTTGTTTAAAGTTATAAAACTCTGAATTAAAGACTTTGTGGTGAGGAGAAGTTTAATGTGTCTTTGAAACTTCCTCTCTTGGTGATTATCAGATTTTTATTTTTTAAGGTTTATTTTCGGGGCTTTTCATGCTGTTATTTTAGAGAGAGGACAGCGGAGTCAGAAACTGGAGAGAGAGAGAGCGAGAGGGAGAGAGAGAGAGCGGGGAACTAGATGTGGGAAAGAAGTGGTTTATCATTGAGATTAAAACAACACTGATCCTCCTCTGATTCTTCAACGTGTCTCGGGGCCATTAGCACGTGCAGCAGGTCCAGATATTTAGATTCCCTTTAACCTGCTGGTCTCAACTTTCTTACTTTCTTAATGATATGATCAGATTTATTTTTCTGTTGCTGCTGAACCTCTGACTTCTCCTCTTCTCTCTCAAACTGCTCCTGCATGTTTTCAGTTTATTCACCTCTCATATCTTAAAACGTTCTGCTTCCCTCCAGGCGAGTCTGAGGAGGTCAGACCCCAGCAGTCAGGCTTCCAGGTCTGAAGGTTTTCTGCTGCAGGCTCTGGTCTGCTTCCAGGCTGCCTGCAGGTCAGTGTACTGTTACAGGAGTTAAACAGGATCTCTGGTACAGTTCAAAAGTCTCCCGTTATGTGCAGGCAGTGCAGTGATCCGCTGAAATGATTATTTTACGGCGCACCAGCAGAGAATTTTTGTTGAGATGTAGGATTGATTAAATCCTTTGCATAAATGTTTTTCATGCATCTATCAGTGTGTGTGTGTGTGTGTGTGTGTGTGTTGAAGGTTGGCTGAAGAGTGTGCATCAGAACCGGTCCTAAAGGAGAACACATTCACGGCTCCCTCCAAACACAGCGCGGACACACTGGAGTCTTTGTGTCGGTGTCTGCTGCGCTGCTGTGACTCCGTCTGGATACCAGCAGTCATTGTGAGAGCCGAAAACACACACACACACACACACACACACACACACACACACACACACACACACACACACACACACACACACACACACACACAGACACACACACACACACACACACACACACACACACACACACACACACACACACACACACACACACAGACACACATTTGTAATCAGGCACTTGAGAGAATGATAAAGGTCGCCATGATTACAATGTTCTGTGTCGTGCCTTTAAACGACTCTGTTAAGCTTCAGAACAAATATGGAGGACGATGAACGTTGTCAGCTGGCTGTCCTGGCGTGCGTTTTGTTGTGCAGCGAATGACATTTGACCCTGACAGCGACCATCTTCTTTAGATTTGTGTACTTCCACCCCCTTAAAGATCTTACTGCTCATATTTGTCTAAAGTTGGTTCTATTCAGACTGAAATCAATTACACAGGAATGTCTTCTTCTGTTCTTTCTCTGACCTCCTGTGTGTGTGTGTGTGTGTCTGTGTGTGTGTGTGTGTGTGTCTGTGTGTGTCTGTGTGTGTGTGTGTGTGTGTGTATCTGTGTGTGTCTGTGTGTGTGTGTGTGTGTGTCTGTGTGTGTGTGTGTCTGTGTGTGTCTGTGTGTGTGTGTGTGTGTGTGTGTGTCTGTGTGTGTCTGTGTGTGTCTGTGTGTGTGTGTGTGTGTGTGTGTGTGTGTGTGTGTGTGTGTGTGTGTGTGTGTGTGTCTGTGTGTGTGTGTGTGTGTGTGTGTGTCTGTGTGTGTGTGTGTCTGTGTGTGTGTGTGTGTGTGTGTGTGTGTGTGTGTGTGTGTGTGTCTGTGTGTGTGTGTCTGTGTGTGTGTGTGTGTGTGTGTGTGTGTCTGTGTGTGTGTGTGTCTGTGTGTGTGTGTGTGTGTGTGTGTGTGTGTGTGTGTGTGTGTAGAGGACGTGTGAGCTTGCACCCAACCCTCAGATTCTGCAGCACTTCTTCTCCGTCCTGTCAGCCCACTTCACCCTCCTCCCGTCCCTCATGCCCGTCTTTGCAAAGAAGTTAGGTGAGTTTGGACCTGAGATGAGTCACACTTTTCTTTGGTTTGAGTTTTTATTTTTTCAGGTTTCGACGTACTGCTATCAGGTTTCATGCCTGACCTATCCATATAGTTAAACTATGACATCTCTCTGATTACGTGCAAATGGAAATCTTGGCTCTGCTTGAAAAATGACAGTGATGTTAAAAACTTGAGGTTTGGGGATCGTGAGCAGAGACTGAGTCGTGTGTCTGGATTCTTATTTATGAGAACAAGTGTCTCTTTCTGTCCTCGTCACATTCCTCTCTACTTTACTCTCTTCATCTTTTTCATCTTTCTTCTGAACACTTTTAAACTACTGAATTGTTGATCACCTTAAACCCCTGATCTCTGATGCTGCTTCTTATCAGCTTGTTACTTTACTGCTCAATGTGTCTGAAGATCATCATGTTGTTGTTTCTCTTCTGCCTTTGATGCGAGGTGTTTGTAAAGGTGTTATATAGATTTTTAAACATCTTCTTCATCAATCCTCTCAGTCTCACTCTTCCTTTTCTTCTGCTCTTCACCTCGTCTTTCCTGTAGCGTCCTCTGGTTTCTACAGGCTGGCTCTGGAACACAAAGCACACCTCTGTGCAGGAAACAGGTACTGTGTTACGGGAAAACCTGAGGAAGCTGTGTGAGTCTGTGTGAGTCTGTGTGAGTCTGTGTGTGTTTCAAACATGAGCAGGATGGGCCTCATGAACAGATCTCACTAAGTCCAAACATTGCCAATGTCTAAGCACAGATTCCACTGTTGCCACTGTTGTTGTACTATTTAGACCGTGTGCAGGAGTTTGACTGTTGCAGCTCCCTACTGGCAGCTCTTCCTGCATGCACTATCAAACCCCTGTGGGTGATCCAAAACTCATCACACAGCTGTTCATCTCCCTCCTCTGGCTCCCAGTTAGTGCTCGTATCAAATTTAAAACTCTGCTGCTCGCTTATAAAACAGACACAGAAACGTCTCCTCCTTACCTAAACTCATCCAGGTCTACTCTTCCTCCCCCCACTACGCTCTGCCAATGAAAGGCGTCTGATCCAACCTTCACAACAGGGTCCTAAGTCTCTGACTAGACTCTTCTCCTCTGTCGCCCCCCGGTGGTGGAATGAACTTCCAAACTCCATGTGATCTGCAGAGTCCCTCTACACCTTTAAGAAAAAGCTAAAGACCCAGCTTCATGATGATGATGATATTTAGGATGGTTTTGGTGCGGATTAGAACTTTCAGCATACAGCTTCATACAGCTGTTGTTGTTGTTGTGCTCTGCCTCTTGTCACTTCCTGTCAGTACCTCTGGTCACTTCCTGTCAGTTCCTGTGTGTCCAAACAGACTTAAAGCTGTTTGTTTCCACCTCCTGTCGCTGTCTCCTCCTCTCTCTCTCCTCGCTCGTGTTCTTACTCTCAGAAGTTCATCACTTTGATAAAAGCGTCTGATAAATGAATTGTAGAATGAAAATGTTGGGTGTCTAGGACTTCTACATTTGTTGTCGTGGCAACAAAACAGACCACTGATGTCGTTTGAATCTTACTAGAATTAAATCAAAGCCCCTTTCTCCTTTGGGGCCCTGGTTCCTCTTGGCCCACTGCCACGCCCGTGATCGTGTTAACGATGACAAACACAACTCGTCTGAGACGTCTGTTATGTCTGAGTCACTCCGTCTTCATTTCCTATAAACCAGCAGCGTGTCGGTCTCAGATCAACACACCTGCAGCTTCAAAGTGTATCTGTGTGTGTCTGTGTGTGTGTGTGTGTGTGTGTGTGTGTGTCTGTGTGTGTATTTAGACTTCTGTCATGTTTGAATGCATATTTATTTTGTGTGTGTGTGTGTGTGTGTGTGTGTGTGTGTCTGTCTGTCTGTGTGTGTGTGTGTGTGTGTGTGTGTGTGTGTCTGTCTGTCTGTGTGTGTGTGTCTGTGTGTGTGTCTCTGTGTGTGTGTCTGTGTGTGTGTGTGTCTGTGTGTGTGTGTGTGTGTGTGTGTGTGTGTGTGTGTGTGTGTGTTGTGTGTGTGTGTGTGTCTCTGTGTGTGTGTGTCTGTGTGTGTGTCTGTGGCTGTCTGTGTGTGTGTGTGTGTGTGTCTGTGTGTGTGTGTGTGTGTGTGTGTCTGTGTGTGTGTGTGTGTGTGTGTGTGTCTGTCTGTCTGTGTGTGTGTGTGTGTCTGTGTGTGTGTGTGTCTGTGTGTGTGTGTGTGTGTCTGTCTGTCTGTCTGTGTGTGTGTGTGTGTCTGTGTGTGTGTGTGTGTGTGTGTGTGTGTCTGTGGCTGTCTGTGTGTGTGTGTGTGTGTGTGTGTGTGTGTGTGTGTGTGTCTGTCTGTCTGTGTGTGTGTGTGTGTGTGTGTCTGTGGCTGTCTGTGTGTGTGTGTGTGTGTCTGTCTGTCTGTGTGTGTGTGTGTGTGTGTGTCTGTCTGTCTGTGTGTGTGTGTGTGTGTGTGTGTGTGTGTGTGTGTGTCTGTGTGTGTGTGTGTGTGTGTGTGTGTGTCTGTGGCTGTCTGTGTGTGTGTGTGTGTGTCTGTCTGTCTGTGTGTGTGTGTGTGTGTGTGTGTGTGTCTGTGTGTGTGTGTGTGTGTGTGTGTGTGTCTGTGGCTGTCTGTCTGTGTGTGTGTGTGTGTGTGTGTGTGTGTGTCTGTCTGTCTGTGTGTGTGTGTGTGTGTGTGTGTGTGTGTGTGTGTGTGTCTGTCTGTCTGTGTGTGTGTGTGTGTGTGTGTGTGTGTGTGTGTGTGTGTGTGTGTGTGTGTGTGTGTCTGTGGCTGTCTGTGTGTGTGTGTGTGTGTGTGTGTGTGTGTCTGTGGCTGACTCTGTTGGTTTCAGGCCCCCTGCTCTGAGCTGTAATGAAACTGAACCATGCTGTGGCTGTGTTTCATATTTAAAAGCACTCACTGAAGGCACATCCTGTCCTGCGCCTCACAGTTCACTCTGTGCTCATTTCTCTGTTCTCGCCGTGCATTGTTCAGCTTTTGTTGTTTGTGAGTCTCAGGAGCCGGTATCATTTTTATTTCTGCTTTCTTTCCTTTGTGTTCAATGTTTTATCTCTGACTCGTGTGTGTTTCTCCCTCTCTGATTCTTTCAGGAACCCAAACCTGAATGCGTCTTGCTGTGGTTTTCTACAGAAGCTCAGTATGAGTCTGCTTGCTCAGTCAGACTCCTACCAGCATGGTATGCAAATCAGCACAAACACTGTACACCCCACAGATCTTCATGCAGCTCCGGTTAAACCCTGCAGCTCACAGACCATGATGTCATGCTAACTGTGACATAAGACCGTTCCAGTGTTGAATTGTTGATGCTGTTCAACCCTCTAGTGTTTGTTTTGTGTAAAGAAGGTCAGAAGTATTGTTTTTTACCCAGACCAAGACATGCCGAGACCAGAGGGCTCCAAGACCAAGACATTTAGGGATCAAGACAGAGACAAGACCAAGACCAAGACCAAGACCAAGACATTTAGGGATCAAGACTGAGACAAGACCAAGACCATTGCAGGGCGAGACTGAGACCATAAATATCTCTGAAAAATCATCATCTTGCGTGCATCCACACATGCATGAAAACATCCATGAAAGAGCAACACATGAAGTCTTCAGGAGCGGACTGTACTAAGACGTCTTTAGGAGTGCATGTGGGCTCTGGACTTGTTATAGTGCATCTGTTTGCAGCAACAACAGCTTTGTGAATATTTAAGAAACTGTTAATGTAATCTCTTCTTCTCTGTCGTCTATCGTTTATTCTTGATCAAAAGGTGAGCAGGAGGCCGCGTGTCACTGCAGCCTGCCTCCCAGCTGTTGTTTCCACTCTCATCTTCATCATCTGTCCAGACTCTACTTTGTTCCTCTTTCTTCCACTCGTCCCTCTGAGACATCTATCTTCAGCGGTGCATCACTGCTCCTCTTCCCATTTTCCTCGGGTTTCTAAAGAAGACCATTTACTCCTCACTCCGTCTCCCTCTGGACCTCTCTGTCGTTCTGCGGGTCTGCAGCACTCTCCAAGTGTTATTCATCTGTCCTCCTCTCCCCGTGTTTGTTGAATTCTCTTTCCCTTTCTTTACTTTGTTTTCCTCTTAAGCTAAACCCTCGGTGTAGTCATGTATCAGCGACCCTCCGTCCCCTTTCTCTGCATAAACTGAACTCTATATTTGGAGCTGTTTCCTTCCTCACTCCCCGATTAAATGTTGAAATAACCTTATTTTCTCAGGGAAAGTAAGAGGCTGCATAGCAGGGAACCAATTTCTCTATTCAGTGTTGTGTTTCAATGCCTCGCTTTTCTCTTTTCTTCGTTTTTTTTAGAAGCTGCATCTCATTTTCGTCTCCTTCTCCCATTCTCTCTTCCGCTCACATTTTCTATTTCCCTAAAGACAGCCCGGAGACGGAGGCAGCGTCACGGTGCATAGAGTCCCACTCCTTCAACTGTTGCAAAAAAAAAGAAATGTTCTGAATTCCCTGCTGTGCTTCACATCTCCCCTCTCATTGGCTCCTTCTCTGCCTTTTTTTCTCCTTCCTTTTCTGCAGTATTCCTCATTAGTGCACATCATCTTCTTCTAGCCCTTTAACTTCTTCTTTCCTTAAAGAGTCAGAACTCTTCCAAACCCCTTATTTAACACTGGGGTAGAGATGGGACCAATCCGATCTATTGATATATCGGTATCAGGTCCGATATTGAAGTTATTTTTTATTTATTTTATTTTATTCACCAAAATGTGCATACACACACACACACACACACACACACACACAATAAAAAAAGAGGTACAAACAAGAGGGGAACTGTGGTACGATACAAAAACAAACAAACAAACAAAAGAAAAGGAAAAGGGTCATTAAATAAAATGAATGAATTAGAAAGACGGACAAAATAAGTGAATGAGCAAACAGGACAAAGAAAAACACGGGGACAGTATAGTAACTAAATGATGTAAAATAAAACTGGTGGGATAGGTTGTACACATGGTGACCATTTTTGGTGTTATTTGTTTGTTTTTGTTTTGTTTTTCACTTTGTATGGATGCCAACATGATGACGATATTGAAGTTATTCATGGATCGGATATCGGACTGATGGCGCCGATCCACATCACTCATCAAGAATTTTAAACATTCTCATCTCGCTCAGTCTCGCTTTGAAGACGTGCAGACTGAACTGTAAGAAGTGTCCTCAAATCGTCTCCATGACGACAGCTGTTGCTGCTTCCTGTTTGTATGTGCAGCCAGCACAAAGCAATGTCGGGTTTACTGCAGCTTTGTGTAACTGTACACAAAGTACCAACAACAACAATCACACCATTAGTTATGATAATAGAAATATCAGAATGGGATCAGAAAATCTGGTTTCTTGACATCCTTAACCCTTACTGTTCTTTAATGCTTCCATCACTTCACCAGCTTCTGTTGTCTCGCCTTCCTTTTCTCCGGGGGACTAATTTAAGAGATAAAAATGCTAATTTATGTTTGTTTGTTTTAAGCACCCATGGATGGCATCCACGGCTTAGTCACTGATGCTTTTGGCTTCATGTTTGGATAAACACGGATAATTGGAAGTCAGTAAATTTTCACCTGGAGATGTTTTTTATTTTTTTGATGCTTCGGCTTTAGTGGTGAATAAGGATTTCATGAATAGTATTCCTTCGTTAATGACGCCTCAGGGCATTTTGCGCTGAGCTTTTCTTCATTTTATCCATCTATCTTTTAACATTTCTTTGCCCTCTTGTATCTCTCTCTACATCTGTCTGATGTTGGTTCCAGCTGAACCCGTGTCTTCATGTTTTCTCATGTTCGACCCTCAGATTTTGACGAGGTGGAGAATCTTCTGCTGTACAACCTTCCCTCTTTGTGTTACCGTCTGTCAGACTGGCCCTGTCTGCTGTGCGAGGCCCCGGGGCTCCAGCTGTGTGAATACAAAGGACCGAGGGCCACTCAGTTCTGTCTGCTGATAATGCTGCACCTCGCCCTGCAGCAAGGAGACAGGTAACATCGTGCACATACACCGTATGGACCAGTCAGTACACTACACCTTCACTTTCTTTACTCAGAGTTTTAGGATGCACAAATCGCTCCAGGGATTCTTCTTCTAAGTTTAGATTGAAGACGCTTCAGTGTCGGTTACACGGCAACCTGCTTGAGCTCCTCAAAACATGTGTGTGAAGTTTCTTGTTCTAAATCCACTCTGATCCTGTATTTGATCATGTCTATAAACCCCTCTATTTCAGCCCTGCTCAGAACAGGCTGTTTCTGTGTCTGTACCTTTAAATATGTAAATGAGCTGTGTCTGACCACGCCCCCTCTCTGGAAGGGCTTGGGTGTCTCTGGTCTTTCTCGCTCCATGTCCTATTGTTTACGGTGAGAAGGCAGACTCAGAGGGCAGAACAAACACCTAGCTGTGGGAGTGTCACCCATCTGGGGGAGGGGCTACTGCCCTTTGTGATGTCATGAAGTGAAAAACCCCAAACGGCCTGTGGAGCAGGCAGAAGACGGAGAGGATGGACTTTTCTTTGTAGACAGACTAGAGACACATATTAGAGTTAGAGGAACATGGGGAAGTGGATCTTACAGAATATGTGACCTTAAAGATGTCTACAGATGTCACCAGAAATATTAACTTTTTTATTGCTGCATTAAATCGTTACATTCTCCTGGCTGGAGTTTATAGTAACACAGTTTCTCTGTGATGCAGCGCCTGTGAGTAGGAAAGACAACATTTGAGCTATAATGCAGAAATGAAAGATTGACAGTCCTAGATGTTATTTAGAGGCAGATCACAGAGTGTGAGCTAAACATTACCTAGAAATCAGCTGGGTTTGTTTGTTGCTGCATCTCTCTGCCTGCTCCCACAGCTCTTCATACGGTATGACCTCAGAGATGCTTCTTTAGAAACTTTAATCTGTCCTTCTGTGGAACCTTGGCTATGCAACCCCCCCAGGGAGGAGATGAAAGCCTCTCGCTGCCGCTGTGGTCTCATCAAGATTAATGGGAGCTGTGGCCGAAGATTTACACAGCTTTGGAGGGCTGAGTGTGTGTAGGGTGTGTGTATTCAGGGATCCGGTCGATGCATGTGTGTGTGTTGGAGATTGCATATCAGGCTTGTCACTAGAACTTTGATTCTTTGAGACAGAACTTGTAAAAATCAAATGATATTGATATCGATTTCAATAACCCGGCAACAAAAATGAAGTCCTGCGCATACGGAATGAAGAAAATTCTTGTTTTTAAGAACTAAAAAGAAGACATAAACTCCTGCACACTGTCTGCAGGAATACGTTGGCAACTTTCCTCTCCCGCTCCACCCTCTTGCCAAACGTTGCCAATGTATTTCTGCAACATAGAAAGGACACTCTCTCTCTTCTTCTGGCTGCAGATCTTTAGATCTTTAGAAACTGAAATGTAGGTTTGACCACAACAACGAGCACTTGCAATGTGCTCAGTTAACATTATTAATGATGTGTGTGTGTGTGTGTGTGTGTGTGTGTCGTAGGCTCCTCCCAGACTACACAGTGTTCTCCAGCGTGGTGTGGCTGCTGCGTTCGGTGCAGGATCAGGGCTGCTGTGCCCTGCCTCTCTCCGTGCTCCGCTCTGCCCTCTACCTGCTGGCTGTGACGCAGGACAAGAGCCCCAGCCTGGACGGGGTGACTGAACACTTCACTGACATGAGCCCTCCTGATGAAGCATTCAAACTTTATACCTCAGCTTCTCTGACAGTCCTGACAGAGAAGCTGAGGTAGTTCTGTTTTCTGTCCCCACAAACCTCCTCAGGCTCCTGTAAACTGCATCAGTAAGGCGCTCTCCTCCTGCCAAAGCTTCTCCTCTCTCTACATCCACCATCCCGCACTCCTCCACTTCATCTTTCGCTACCCGGAGCTTGCAGAGAAATTCGGGCCTCTGGTCTTGGAGCTTTGGTTGACAAAGCAAACAGAGTGCTCAGATTCACAGCACACGATGATGGTCAGGGTGAAAATGTTTAATAATTCAACTCCAACAAGTTGAGCTCGTTAATTTCACATCGACTGAGTAACTTTCAGATATATGATGCATTAAAGTTCAACTTTTTAAATTCCCTTTCATCCCTCACAAGTTAACTCCAGTATTGATGAAAAGGTGGTTTCATTTCATCACTGTGCTCAGGCTGGAGTGCAGGAGAAAGGAGAGAAGACAGACAGCCAAACTGATGAGAGGCCAGATCCAGAGATGGACAGAGACACTGTGGAGCTCCTGACTCTCGTTGAGAAGTATCCAGCCGTCATACTGACGCTCCTGGTGAGATTTTAAGTCAAAACTCTTTTACATTTCAGACCGATGATTCAGTTCACACTCCTGGTTAATACCGGGGATGTTGCCGGGGATTTCAAGGGGCCGCAGTAATTTCCGCCCACCTTTTCTCCTTCTCTCTCTCTCGTGGTACAAAGAGGGCGTGTCAAAGAGGCGTTCTCGCTCTCTCCACTACTCCACCACTTTCTCCTCCTTTTCCACATTCCACTTTTTGAATAAAAAAACAACTTTATTTGTCCCCGAGGGGCAATTCACTTTCTTTGGCTGCCTTTGGCATGTTTACCAGTTTGCAGCTTCCTGTTTAATGATGAAGAGGCCGCTCTTTTTGGTTGTCGACAGTGGTCACGTCATTGAACGACAAAATTTGCAAAAGAGCTGTGAAGATATTAAACATGTTTGATTTAGTCGAAACGCCAGGACAAGAAACAGACCGCCTTAGACCACCTTACACGAAACGAGCGACATCACTGAGCGTGCCCCAACTGTTTTTCATTCCCACTTTGTAAACTTGTCTGTGACTTTGAAACTCCTTGAAATGCCGTCTGGTGTCAGGCCAACATGAGCTGTGTGTGACTGCAGGATATGGTGTGCACCAGAGAGGCCCCCCTGGCAGAGCGAGCCCTGCGCGTGCTGGATCTTCTTCTGCGCGGTCAAAGAGACTACGAGGCTGACTTGTGTGCGAATCTTAAACCAACTCTGCTCCAGGCGCTACAGCGGCTCAGTGTGGAGAACATGGGACACAGTGACCCAGGTAAGGTGGTGGTGATAGAAGAATGCAGGATGTGATGAGGAGTGGGTTTCTGAGGCTGGATTTGATCTCTACTGAGCTGGACTGGAGGTCACCAGGGTGGAGGAGGAGGGTCACAGCAATCGTACTGAAATGACAAACTGACTGACTTTAAAATGTGAGCGCAGCAGGATGATTGGTCGAGAGAGGTTGTGGCAGAGTCGGGTTGGATTCTTTAAGAGTAAACGCCCCCAAATCAGCTGATCACCAGAGCAGAGAGACAGAGGGAAAGGAAAAGAGGGAAGGGCTTAGAGGAATGAAGAACTTTGAATAAATCTGTGAGAGAATAAAACCAACCGTCCTGCTTGAACTCACACTGAGCTCCATCAGAGGAGCGTGCATTTGAACTGAAGGGTTCTGCAAACAAGTACCTGAAGACTTGTGTTCCCAAACACATAGATGAGTTAATCCTGCGCTGTAATGTGTGTTTCCTGGTGGAGGTGTTTTCCAGCTGGTGTTATCAGGTCTGTAAACTCGACCTGGTCAATGAGCACAGCTGAAGGGCACAAACCTCGAGAGCCAGCAGGGATTCACAGACTGACGCTGTGGTTAGCCTCCGCCTGCTTCACGCTCATCCCTCATCCTGTGGGGATTACACACCGTAATCCACGCAATGTTTACACTCCAACTCGCCGTCATTTGCATTAATATAAACTTTAAATGACTCTGTAATGCAGCAGCATCCACACTGCAGGGTGGATGACTGCTCTGACTCTTTCCTGACTCACCGTGCTTCTCCTCTCTCTCTCTCTCTCTCTCTCTCTCTCTCCTAACCACCCTGATCTGTGTGTGTTTGCAGTGAACTCACTCCCTCTGGTGCTGAAGCTGCTCTGTGTGCTGCAGACCAGCGACCCGCCTTCGTCTTCCTCCTACAGCAAGATGGACGGCGTTCACTTCAAGCTGCTCTACCACGGTGAGGTCAAGTGGGGGCGGTAGTAGCTCAGTCTGTAGGGACTGGGAATCAGAGGGTCGCCGGTTTGGAGAGGTGCCAGTCCACTTCCTGAGCACTGCTGACGTGCCCTTGAGCAACGCACTTAACCCCAAAACTGCTCTTGAGCGCTCGCTGTGTGCAGCCCCCTCACTCTGAGACCTCTCCTTTAATGCATGTCCATAGGATCCTGTTTGTGCATGTGTGTGTGTTCATGTTCATTAAACAGAGTGTAAAATTGAATTTCCCCTCGCGGGAATGATAAAGGATAACTTATTATTATTATAACATGCACAATCATGATACAGTATTTACGTGTCTACATTACAGGAAGTTATATTAACACTTCCAGGCCGACACTCAGAAACTGAGAAATGCGCGCTCAGTTCTTTGCACACAGACTCTTTGAACTCTCTCTGACACTCACACGGGGACTCCTGCTGCATATTCTTCTGTTTATTCAGCACATTATCTTTGATTTAATATCAACAAAACTCTTTAGTGGAGTGTTTGCTGCTGATCTGCAAACAAATATTTGCTGCATATTTTAAATCTGAGCGTGTTTTGATTCAAGTGAGATTTGCTTTTTTTGTTGTTTGCAAACACGTCGACGCCTCCTCATCCCTCTGTGACTGAACCGCTGTGTTTCTGTTTCTTCCCTTCATTGGTGCACGTTAGTCTGGTTCTCCTCTGCAGCTTCTCATCTCTGACAGGTCAGATGGCTGGTGACGTGACATGAAATGCAAAGCTTATCGTGTAAATGTGTGTGTGTGTCAGTGAGTAACATAGCAGGGAAACTGAAGCCGACCAACACACAGAGCCTTCTACCTGCCTTCAACTACCTGTACTGCTGCCTGAGTCTGTCCCCTGCACACTGCACCGACAGAGGTGAGACTCTCTCTCTCCTTCTTTCTCTCTCTCTCTCTCTCTCCTCTCTATCTCTCTTTCTTTCTCTCTCTCTCTCTCTCTCTCACACACA